TATACTTGGTACGTGTCCAGGCATTGATATTTTTACCTTACACTGAGAGAAAAATATGATATTTGGAACTATAATGACATAGTAAAAAGACTATAGTTAGGAATATAATTTTTATAGTAAATGTTATAATATTTGTAATATTTACAATATAAGCATAGTATAACTGACCCGTGTAAAATTTTTACCAAGAATTATAATTATTTGAAATAAAAAATATAGTAAGGTAGCAAATATTGTATGGTAAGAGAAATTAACTATTTTATATAGTCAATACAATTGGAATATTTGGCAAATATAGGTACATGTAACTATATTCCCAAAAGGTGCTTTACCATATATATAGAGTAATAAGATGACTATAAATCTGTGTTCATTCTACTATATTTTCATGTTTGGATAAACTATAAATATATGTTTGAGGCCAAAACGAACTATAAAATATAGTGAGATTATAGTTATTCCAACTATTTTTTTTCTCTCAGTGTACGCGCAGTATTACATATTCGTCACTATGTCCGGCAACTACATTCAATGTCCACAACTTGATATGCTCTTGGTGCACTCCAGCTCGTCGTTCATTATCACGCGTGTGCGCCGCGCGAGAGTCCGTCCGGCGACTTTTCGGCTCGGCGCGCTCGGACAATCGAATGTAAAAATTCCGCCAACGTCGGCGGATATCGTCGCGATCAGGAGGAGGAAGTTGGCCGAAGGAAAGGACGTGGGTGAATTCGAGGACGGTGGCTCGAAAGGGGAGATATCGTGGAATACAATCTGGTAAAAGCCGGGCTGACCACCGTTCGCTCGCTCGCGCGGAGGGGTTTAAGGAATGGCCAGGGCGGATTTATGGCAGCCTTAAATCTTAACGAACGCTCTTTTCCTCCCCCGTTGCCGCGCACCACCTCCCGACGTATCCGCGCGACTGCTTTCCATCGAGAATGTCGTATTTGCGAGGTTACTTCCACTCGGAACGCGATTTTCGGTCGCTCACTCTCCCCCACCCCTCCCGGCCTCATTCCGGAAAAGTCGCAATTCGAGTCGCTTTTTACAGTTGGAGTCGCGCGAGTGGCGAATGCCCCATTCTGCCGAATTGTGCGAGGAACGGTCACGATTTTATGACGAGTGTCCCATTCGCGAAATCGATAAAAAGGGCTTCCGTATTTGCGTGCGAGGCGATATACAGGAGTTGGGAATTGTTTCTCCCCTCGGAATAAATAGCGATCGTATGCGAGAGAAAAGTGGAAAAGGTATCATCCCACGCTCCCAGTTTCCGTGTCTGTCTGTGTCTCTCTCTCTCTTTTTTCTCTCTCTTCATCGTGCTGAACACGTTCGCTACCACGGTTTATTTGGAGAATTTTCCCCACAGACCACATTGCATTTATTGTCAGGCAATTGTATAAAACACACTCGGTGTGTTGATGGATATACATAATTGCGAAAAATCAAAATCCCGAAAACTGAGGCCAATCTCCTGAAATATTGAAAGCATGAAATTGTCCCGAAAAATTGTATGACAAATTGTTGAAAGCTTCATCCTTTCGCTATTTCAAGAAATATTGTATTCCGGTATATTTTTTGTCCCGGTGCTCGGTTTTCGGGACTTTTCGAGTTGTTGTTTCACTTTGAGAAGTTCGATACTTCCTTTTCGAGATTATTTGTGTCCACCGGTTTGCTTATGTGGAAAATTTTCAGTAAAGATGAGCTCAAAGTGAGAGGTCGGTGCGTCATGCATGTGTGACGTTGGTAGCCACGCGTGTTCACGCAACGTTAGCGAATTCAAATATCCCTCGAACTCGACATTTTGCGACGCGCAAGCTTCTTTCGTCCCACGTGTGCCGCATCGCGCGAGGGGTAACGAGCCCTCTCGTCGGATCGAGTCTCAGAGGCAAAGAAAGACAGAAAGGAAAAAGAGCTGATATAATCTTCAAAGACACCCCACGGAGAGGGCCAACACGCGCGCGTCCGATAATCCCCCGGCGCGTGCACGTGTGCACGCGGTTTCATTCGGGACACGTGCAGCGTGCAAGCGAGAGGAAGACGCAAGGCTCGCTCCGCGTTCGCGAGGAGAAGTCGTGTCCAATCAACGCGTCGCCGGCGTGAAGCCGTGCTGCATCATCGGGACCGGCAAATAATTAATGAGCGGCGAGATTCGGAGACCGTGCCGGTCGCTCGTGCGAAAAAGGTCTTTCAATAATTCAGATCGCGAGTTCGTCGACTCGTCTCGTGGTCGATCGAGACGCCGCCGGTCGTTTCTGGATGCGGGGAGAGCACGCGGTGGTCGCGACGCGCGTGAAGTATATCCTTCGAACAAGAGGAAAGGAA